ATGCATCGACTTTTAGTTTATTTTACACATTCTTCCTACGATTTCACGGAAAATTGTGTTTGATCATTAAAAATAGCTCAACTGGCTCATTGAAAGTTCGATTTTATTTATAATAACGTTTCGCGTCTAGTCTGCTTCCACTTAACTTCCATAATAAACGGCTGTTTGATCGGCGAATGCTTCCGAAAATAATTTCATTAAGGCTTATAATGTTGTAATAAGCGTCTATCGATGTTTATTTATAGCCGCACTTCTTTTTTTGTGTCGCTCTTGACTGACTGCTTGCGTTCTCGGTGATGATGATGTTAAGTGCCGACGCGATGAAGGTATTAATCAATATATTGAGGTTCTGCTTGGGACACAACCGCAACCGGTACGAAAATAGCGCTATCAGTTGATCTTCTCTAAATCTATAATGCCGAGATGTTTTTATTTATGGCGAGCTTATCATCTAACATATGCGGGTTAATATCGGTTTAGTTTAGATGATTTATTAATAATTGCGTGAAGAATTTTAGTTTTTTCTTTAATTAAGAAATATGGGCTTTTTAATTAGACGTTGCGATGTTTTAAACTTGATAAAAATATGTAGTTCTATTTTTTTTTCTCGTTGATTTTAGTTAAAAGTTGCTTAACTAATTTGTTTGTTGTTTTTTAAAGCTATTTTTAGTCATTTTTTGACGTTAAGATTTTAAATTTAATCTTAAATGACGAGAAAGGCTTATAATATGCTTTTCCGCCATCTTGATCAGATTTCTAGAACTATAACTATGATTGAATCTTCATATCAACTTTCATGCCTTATTTTACACGCTACCAGTTATATTTTTGTGACAAAAATCAACCTATTTTAATTTTCTTTCCCAAAAATATCACGATACCAAAATTTATAAAAATTTGTTTAATAGTTTATGTCTGAAAGTGTCACAAACGTACATTTGAATTTATAACATTTACCATAATTGTCATGTACTGAATAGCCGATAGATAATAAAATAATAAGCTGGAAAACTCGAATAGAAAGCAGTTTAATTACATTCTGTATTTGGTTGTAAACGAGATAGTTTGAATGTCATCAATGTCAAGATTAAACAGATGTTAATAATGGACGCAAATAATGACGAGTAATTGATCAATTTTCAAGTGGTCTCTCGATGTGAAACTGAGTTTTCAAACTTTCAAAACTACAGTAGATATGTCCTCACATTTATTGAACTTTGTTTGAATTTGCACTTTCATTGAAATTAATTGACATTATTGTACTAGTTTCGATTTTGTCATAAAATATCAAAACTTACAAGCTTGTTTGGGCTCCACACTCATTTAATGTTACAAAATTTCCATATTAATATCACACACGGTTAGACACACAAAATAAAATTTAATGAATGAACGTTGTGCGCTTTTAATTAATGATTTCAACACTCAACCGCAGCTCACCTTTTTGGTCAGTCATTCAGGCATAAAAACCAATATTATGCAATGTGCGCAATATTATAAATTATATCTAAAATTTACATATTATGCACATTGCAACCAAGTTGCGACTTTCTCCGCGCACCATTTTGCCACCATTCTATCAAAGTGATTGATTGCTTAAAATGTGGGCATTCAGTTTTTTCATCTTCTGCGATTGTAGAGCGTGGGCTAAAATGTAGAGAATTAATTCATTCAAGTCCAGTCCAGTCAAGTAGAATGTCGACTTTATCGGCATGTGTTATACAAATTTCCTACAAATTTTATTTTGATACACATTGTGTATATAAATATAAATGCGGGGAATGATTAATGACGCTGGAATGCGTTCGCATTCAGAGTGCGCCTGGATATCATTTTATATTAAAAAAAGAAACATATCAAAACAAGCTTTGTCCTCCAAGTATTAAATAAAACGGATATCGTTTTGTGGCCGTCGCCTCGGTGGTCGCTTCTGTTTGATACGGCGATTATTTAGGTCTCGGGATGTGTGTTGGATAGGAAATAGAAGTGTGTAAGTGATGTGTAATGCTGTCGCGGAGGTCAAATGCAATTAATAACTATGGATACTAAATAAAAAAAGTCTTTGGACTGTCTCTACTTGTCCATGACTCCCGGTTGACACAAAAAATAAAATGGTTTGTTTTGTTTATGTTGTGTAGTAATCTGTGCGAGCTTTGCTCGGAAGTAATTTACTTCTGAAGAAAATTACTATTTTGAGTGCGCAAAATAAGATTTTAAGAAGTTTATTTTGTGAATTTACAGTAAATATGTGTCTTGTAGTAAAATATAAATTTTTATTATTTAAGTTTGTTTATCAATTTTTATTTAAAGAAATGAGAAATGTTCATAATGCACTTTTGCGTCATGATTCGTCATTGTAAATTTGAGTTCTTATTTTAAACATTTCATGTTACGTTTTTGCGATAAAAAGTTGCCTCTTTGCATTTCCTTGATCAAAACTATCTCTATACCAAAATATATTAAAAATCATTCAATGATTTTAGTGTGGAAACGCCACAAATAAACAGGAAAACTAATATTTGCATTTATAATGAGTATATTTGTTAGGAAAACAGTGATTTTTCGTAAAAACTTTTCTTTTATATTGAATCTTCAAAATTGATTTTTGGGACAAAAAGTCGCCTATGTTCTTTTCCAAAGTTTAATTTTCCCAAATTTCAAAATTCACAAAAATTCATTCAGAAGTTTTCCGGTGAAAAGTCTACAAACAAACTTAAATAAGTCTTTCAGTAAATTTTTGTTATTTTCTAATTATATTCAAGTAGGTAAATTAAATGCACTTTTGTTATGCAATGCATTGTCTTTTCAACAACGCTTACATGCAGTTTTATCGATTATTTATAGCATTTAAATTTCCCGAAGATAATAAATTTTGTCGCAATAAATTATTCATTGCGAGTCGTAACGTTTTGTACCAGTACTAGTACTTGTACTAGTGTGTTATTTCTGTGCGCAGTACAAAGTTGAAGAAAGTCAATAAACGGATACGAATTCAGCCGCTTTTCTATTGTTTATTGTATTTTTAGTGAATTTATGCACTTGCATTATACAAGCGAGGAGTGCATTTATCCATGTCCCGCAAATTAAATTAAGTATTTTTAATTTAGTAAGTGTATGCTTTCAGCCCACAGATTTCTAATAAAGTTTAAAGCAACCAAATTGGATGTGGATGTGGGATGTCTCTTATGAAATTATTGGGATCTCTCAAGATTTATGTCTATTTTGTACATGCAAGTGCAATTTCAGTATTTACTACTTTTTCTCATGTTGTGCACACGATGTGATCGTAAAGATTTTAATTTAGACATTTTCGGAATGTAAAATTCATAAAGTTCGTATTATGACATAAAATAAACTGCAGTCTAAGCAAAAACAACGCGTGCACAGCAGTAAATTATCCAAAAGTCAGCAAATTTCAAATTAAAACAATTTCGAGTATAAATTTCGCCTTGTGTATGATTGACATGGAATGCATTCTTCAAATATTGTTGGTATGCCTCAAGCGTGAGTAAATGAAAAGTTGTTAATCGACAAATGGTTAAATATTGAAATAGCATAGTCGCAACATATTAACATCAATTCGTCCGTTTCACAATCTTATCGGAATGAATGTTAACCACATGAATGTGTACGAAACCACGAAAAAATGTGCGAAAAGTCACTGAATTCCTAACTGCGCATGCGTAGAACTCACTGGGCGGAGCTCCTGCACTACAAATGCGTTGTTTCTTTCAATTTTAATCTCGCTCTGATGCGGAAGAAGGCAAACAAAAACAAATTCACTTCAAAAATTTCAATATCTCGCCGGTGAGAAAAAATAACAAGATCAAAATCTTGTTAATTTCAAATAGTGCGCCAGCCGGATGCAAACAATATGTGAATAACGCCGTAAACAGGCCGACAGCCGACCATAAAACAATGCGATCGTTTTACAAGTTTAAAGCGATGAGCAACATCTGATGATCAATTGAATGAATGCAAGCGCGCACATGAGTATGAGAACAAAACATTCACTTTACCACAATGCACCAGTCAAGCTTTAATTCAGCTATATAGTTAATTTTCAAACAAGTTTGCGTGTCAACGAACCAGTTGCGATAAAAAATACAGAAGCATTAACAGATGATGAGGCAGCCACACACAAAGAAGTATTTATACGAAGACTTTAGAAAATAGAATCGAGTGACATGTATACCAAACAAATTTCTAGATGGATGGAATAGAATTTGTGTGCAAGATGTGCTCGTGCACTCTGCGTCAGCGTGTGGGAAAAGTCAATTGCAGCCGGCATGAAATCATCAAGTCATTAACGCATCAGGCGCGCACAAATGAGTCGAGTTTCGAGTGTGACACTGGCGGAGAGCAAACGCCTTGTAATCCGGTTAGCGAATGCAACACAATGCGACAATGTCGTCGGGAATGCTTTAAACACCAGCACAAGCTAACAATTAACAAGTGATCAAAAGAACGCTGTGACGGCTGGATTCGTTTGGTCGCGAATCAAATTATCACGCGGCGGACACTAAGTATTTATGCCGAAAATGTCGCGTCATGTGCGCAGCATATGACTCTGTATTGTCACAATTCGTGAAACAGCTAATTGTGCTTGATTTTTTCAATTATCTGAGTTTTTGTATAAATAATTCATTTATTTGGAGTTATATGTTTGTTTTACAGTTTAAATAACAAAAAATTCTTTGATCTTCTTTTTGATTTTCTTGTTTTTTGTTTCGAGGCTAAATATTCCCCCTAAGGGACATGAAAGCGACCTTAAAATGTGATTTTTATACTCGATATTTTCCATATTTTTTTGTATTTTTATTCTTTCTCCTTTGGCGATTGCGTTTGTGTTTTTCTTTGTTTTGGCTCCGCTAGACTTGCACCAAGCTGATTTTCAGCTCTTGAGTAAAGCTTTTTTCTCTGTATTCATCGCCCGTATACATTTTATTTAGCCTCGTGGAACGCCAACTAAAAGAAACGTTTGTTTTGCTCTGTTACAGTCGGCCTTCCCTCCGGTGTCACCATGAGGGAGAAGAAAAGTGGCGCTTTGTCCTCCAAGATGCAGAAACTCAGGAAAAGACTGTCGCATTCCTTCGGACGATTATGTAAGTGTTTTCAACGTTTATATCAAAAAGCGTTATATACAAAATGTTCCAATAATATTTTAAACATAATAAAATTTAGTTTTTTCTTGAAATTTTTTATATTGAAACACTTTGTATATAAATATGTAGTTGTCGCCTAAGTTATTCCCACTGCTTTTAACTCTATTGTACTTTCGTCGCGTTATAAGTAAAGTAAAAGTCGGCCGAGTTATCTGCGGCATGCCGGGGGTGCGTTTCTTTTCACCCCTCGTCTGATATTATATATTGCGGAAAATAATAGCGCTGAGTGCAACCACTCAGTACATCATAACTTTTATATTGTACCTTGGTACGCAGGCGACGCAGGATTCGCTCAAAACTCCAACTTGGAAAGTTTTGGCGGCATAAAGGGCAGAAACGATTGCAAAGTGCGTCTATTCTTAGACCAAGATGTTCGAATTCGACTACAAGCGAATTTGATGTTTCGGCTCGAATTTCGAAATTTCAAAACTTTTGTTTTGCAAAACTTTCTTGGCGCGTACTTCATTATTTCTTTGACGCTTCCAGAATGTACCGGTTTATTTTATAGAGCATTTTCTCGGCATCCCTCTTAGTTTTTGAATAAGGGGGGCGCAAAAATATTTTAATAATCGCATTGAATTCCTGCATGATGCACACTTTGTGTGCGGCACCCTTGGAAATTTCTTTCAGTCGGAATATTTTCGAATAGTTTGAATACTTGCCGGGCACTAACGATAATAATGCAAAAACGTTATTGGGGTGATTCCCGCTCGTTGGCGTTGGGGTTGTGATTTTTTACGACTCTTCGCACAGCAAGTTCATATTTTTCTACGCGCTGGGTCCATGATGCGATTACATTAAAGATCATCGACTTGCGTTTTGAAGTCGAGTGCAGCCGCGTGCCTATAATTCAAATAAAAAATAATAAAAAAAACTCGAATAAAAATCGCGCCCCACGAATTCCTCGCCGAATATTACGCCGTGTTTGCTTTACGCAAAGTTTATGCCCATAAAAAGTTATAAAGCAAAACGAAACGAGACGATAAAAAAACTTCAACGCGGAAGGAAGGTACGAAATAATAATAATCAATCAAAAAGTTTAAAAATTTAAAATAATCGTTGATGTACTCGTAGGTGTAGTATGGGAAATTAAAGTACATAAATTTTACTTGTTTACAAGGTTATGCACTGTGTGTTCGTGGTTGTTTTTTTTTATTATCGCGCTGCGTCGACGCTTTTTCTTGTAGTTTACGGGCGATTTTTATGTAACCATCGATTAAAACTAATGACTCGTGCTTTAATGCTTCGTTTGCGACAGCCGACAACCGCACTGTAACTTTTTCCGTAACCAGGTTAATCATCGAAATTGTACACGGTTTATGTTTAAGTGCTTTTTTTTTCATTAGGATGCTCTCATATTTACGAATTTAGTACGCAATCATGTGTATGCTGTTCGGAAGTTGAATATCGTAAATATCGAGCACACAATAGAAATTTATGTCCGGCATATTCACAATGCCGAAGGAAGTTAATGAACGAAGCCAATAATTTTTCGAAGCGGCGTTTTTTTTTTCATGACGTACGTAATATTTCATTATGAGGAGGTTTTAGGCGTGGGCGAAATATTCAACGTGCGGAAGGGTCTTTAATACTCTACGTACTGCACCTTGATGGCGAAGTAAAGCGTACATAATGTACAATTTACAATCGCAATTTGATTTATCAGCGCTGGCGCGGAGGAAAAATATCATGTGTAACGCATATGTTTCGCTGAGTTGTACTAGGAGCACGGCACGTACGGAGGGTTTGAAAACGAATAATTTTCTACAGGAAATTGAATGTGTTTCCTTGTTTAAAGAAGCTCAGGGTGTGCGGGTGGGTGTTCTGTTTGAAACCGGCAGAGTTAAGCACTTTCGGTCGATTTAGCTGATGGTGGAGTGCACATGCAATTATATATAACTGTGTGTATTATCCAGGGGTGAATTTAAATATTCAGTATATTTTTAGTAAAATTATGATGAATAATTTTTAGTTTTGTTTTAATTTTGAGTCATTGATGAAGTGGATGTTTTTTAAAATTTCAATTAATCCGATCCTGTATATATTACAGTTTGGAGCGACCGCTAATTACCATTTCCGGTTGTAATGCTTGAATTTATATGCACTTTAATATGCAAATGATGCAGTGTATCAGATTCATATTACTCATCGCTTCATTGTTAAATATTATTTGTTCAAGTTTATTTTATTGATTTTTTAAACGTTTCACGTGCTTTTATAGGAAATCGCTTTATTTGTTTAGATCTCTAACACTATTTTTAATTGATATTCCACGAAAAAACATGACTTACGTAATTAAAATTTGTTAATCAGAAACGTGTTGTGATAATTAATCACAATTATTTATGCGTCTGCGGCCGATGCTCGTGTGGCGTATTAATTGCGGTGGCATTGTCGTCGATGCTCGTAATTCAATGTGCAGGTAATTGTAATGCTTACAGTTCCTGTGCTCGATTACCTTGAATCGCATTTTTTGCACGTACACCGCACAATCCTGAGAACTGCCATTGCCGAGATAAAATTCCTCCTTTTATTCGTTTTGCACTGTTTTAAATCGCTGTGGACACGGCAAACAAGTCGTAGTTAACAAAAAGCGTGTTTTTGATACTTTATGGTGGCATTTATTTATATTAACGCCATTAACTTGACCAATTGACACTTTTCCTCATAAAAAACTTGAAATTGATCTTGAAAGTTAAAAATAAATGTTAAGCTATCAATCATGTGATTTGAAGTTATTTTCTTCAACAAATTATCATCGAAGAAAAAAAATAAGATTTTTATTGTGTTCAATGTAGAAATAGGAAATTTTCCTGAAAACGTATTTTTCTTGGAATTTTTTATGTTTTGTTTAGTCTGAGCGAAATAAATACCTTTGAATGCACTGGAACGTAAAAAATAGGACATCGTACTCACACTGCATTATAATACACTGACATTATTTCAATTACAATGAATTATAGCGGCTGGTAATCATAGTGATAGTCGCCACACCACGCTCATGCAGCGCGCGCTGTCAACTCTCCCGTTCATTTATTATAATAGGCAAATAAGCAAATTAGTTTTGTTGCAACAGCGACGAGTTGCAATAGCAGATCATAACTCATACTTTATACTACCATGTAGAAATTTTCACTTGCAGGACCTGATTTATAATAACCATATAAGCAATATTAAATCGTGCACAGTGTCGGTGCTTATGATTTGCTCGTGTAATAGTGACGGTTCTGCGTTGGCGTTTGAATTTGATTCATTGCGTAGCATGCACGCATATAATACGATTATTGAATTAAATTGAGACTTTCCTTTTCGTCTGTGAGTGTGAATTGAGTATGCGATGTGATAATGAATCAAGTCTATGAGCACTAATCAGTTTAATAAAGCAATGCGTGGCTTAGCTTAAATTTGCGGAAATTGTCATTAGTAAATATTATCAGTGTGAATTTTTCTGTAGACATGTGATTTCGCTATAAATACTCGGGTGGAATATAATTCTAGACATGTTCAAGGACGTGCGACTTTAGAATCACTTAAATGCATAAGATTAAAATTACGCCGGATGAATGAATGGCGATTAGTCGCTTGGTGCGTTCTCACAATTGTTTTGTAATGCCATAGCTGGGTGTAACCTTAAGTAGAATGTGGTCGAGTTGCTTGGTTCACCTGAGTGTTGTTTTAGTTATTTTATGTATGCACAAGGCATCGTTCGGAAGTCTGCTTCTTAGAATTATTTAAATGCGTTGATGTGAAATAATTACTCTTTTACATACATGCCATAATTATTTTAAAAGGAATAAAAATATTTAAATTACTCTTAAATTATTTAGTAATAAACAATTGAATTTTTCCTTTTTTTATTTATAAATAGAAAAATATTAATATTTTCTATGATTACATCAGCTGATTTCCGAAATAATTTAAAAATGCTGTAATCATATCTATGATATTGTGTAATCAATGTTTATTGTATGTACAGCACTTGTGGTTAGAGGACAAGTCGTTTCTGTATTGGTTTATTGGGAAACGTGGAAACCCACACGCCGAATTCCTCGATCGTTAATGTTTGTAAGCTATAAAACTTCCACCTACTGAATATCTGTAGCATGTGAGAACGAGATCAACTTTTAATACGTAAGGTGAATATTTCATAACTTATTATTATAATAAGCTATTTATTTATTTAAACGATAAAGCAACAAAAAATGTAATAAGGAAAACGAATAATAAATAATAATCTGTATAGAGTAAAAGTAAAAGTTTAGCAGCAAGAAAAAACAATATAATACATTATTACGAGTACTTGAATGAAGAAATGAAGAAATATGAATAGAAATGTACGTACACATAAGTGAAAAGAAAGTAATTAATAATCGGTTGCAAATGAAGTGGTAGCATGCACCGTTGTGTGTTTAGTTTGTTTGTTGCTCTCATAAAATGCATTTACCATCAATTAACAACGGATAATTTCCTTGTTGTTCCTCTTGTTGTTGTGGTATTGTTGCTTGGTTGTGTTTATCAAGTATAATGGAAGATGCTGCAATGCTACATTAATAAGTGCCAGTAGCAGGCGTTTCTCTTGCTTGGATGAGAGTTTTGAAAACGTTAAACAGTAGAATTAAGAGCGGAAGAAGGACGTTGCCACAAAGTAAGAGCATTGTTAGCTAAACTTGATGATGGTATAACGGAACTACTAAACTGATATCTACATCGGCCAAGAACTGCAACTTGTAAGATAATGCAAGTAAATATTATCTCTATGGGAATAGAAAATTGCACTGTTGCAATAAGATCATTCAAATTTGATTATATTCTCATGATATCAAAACGCATAGATCTAGACATTGACAAACGCTGCGCATTCCGAACGATAAATGACAATAATCAAGCTGTTTTTAGCCACTTTCTTCGCCGCTTTTTGCGCTCAACTCTATTATGTCTTT